GTTACAGAGACGGTTCCTCTGGCTCTCCTCTACTGCAAGGTTGGTGACATTTGGGTTTCCTACGTCTGAGTTATATACCCATAAAGAGCCCCTCCCCACTAAAATTCCCTCCAGGCACCTAGAGACAGCAAAATCACGGAGAAACGTCCTCTAACTCTACTCTACAATCCCACTAAGTGTGGTGAAGATCGGGTTTCCCCAAGCCAGCAGCTAACAGGGATTTTCCTGGAGGATGCACTTTGTGGATGTATAACTTGGATGTTTGAAGCCCAATCTTACCAATCTTGCTGGGTTTATGGAGGAGAGTTAGGGGAAGCCTCCCTGTGAATGTGGTGTCTCTGGGTGCTTTGGGGGCTGTTTTATAGGATTATAAATTAAAATATGAAGTGCCAAGTTGATTCATCAGAAAGCATCATAAATGTGTAATTCTTGATTTGGCAACCTTGATGAACCATAAATCAAAATGAAACATTATAAATGTGTAATTCTTGATTCGGCAACCTTGATAAACCATAAATCAAAATGAATCATCATTTTTTTCCTGATTTGTGTCCATCTCTAGTCAACACATAAATTCCATTGAAGGAATCAGTTTGTTCTAGTTGGGACTAGTAGTAGAATACTAGGAGTGGAATTTTTATGATAAATGTCCATAGCCTAGTATCTGAATATTAAGCTTTTCATAATGCATTCATTAGGTTTTAGTCAATTTTGATGTTTGGCAGACAGCTTATGTTATACTTGATTTGTGCCAAAGAAAAATGCTAAGCAGTTGACTTTTGAGGTAAAACTCCATATTCCTAAATTTAATGCACATTACTTGATATTAGGACAAAACTGTAACACAAAAATACAAAAAGCTCCAAATCTCTGAGTAAACAAAGTAATCATTTATTCTACAGTAATCTGTGTACATAATTGCTGTCTTTAATTTTAAGAAAACCAGAGCGCGTGTCAACCTACAAACACCATATTCAGAAACACCAAGCAATGCATTTATTACACAGACATTTGCTTATTTTATAGTCATACATCTATTCAAGCCATTCCTCCCTCTAAGAACATGTCACCATACAACAAAGAAAATACTCTAAATCCCAAGGAATATATTTCCAATGCTCATGACTTCAGTAACCTTAAGTGTAGACTGGAACAGCATATTTACAAATCATTACCTGTCATCTAGTATCATGAATAGGTAGTTAATTGTTGACCTATATATAAGCCTTCATGGAAGGTGAACTCCTCAGCCTGCCACAGGGTTCTCTAAGCAGAAGGTGGGTTTCCTTAGAGAAGGAAAGGAAGCCCAGTGAGTTCCCCAGACTCCTCCATGGTTTCATGCAACGTTCTCGCTCACCACTTGATTTGAGAACTATACCTGTGCATCAGCAAAATAATGACCTTGTGGGTTTTTCAAAAGATGTTTTGGTGCCTGTGCAACCTATACTGTATGTACAGTTTTACATCAGGGAAGACTCAATCTTTGTTTTTTCCTTAGATTTCTGATCTTGCAAGGGACTGCAAGAGGCAAGTGCTTATCGGCTATCACCTCCTTGGTGGTATCTTTACTACACAGGAGGAGGCTAAAACACTGGAAGAAAACACACATTACCACACACTTTAAGAACCTCTGATCTAAATGTTCCTGCTATGGGTTCATGCAGTGTAAAATGTAACCTATGTATGCTAAATATAAACACATTTTGTACTTAATGAAAATTATGCAGCATCCTTTCCTTCTGAAGGCAATCTACTTTTTTACGGGGCTTTGCTAGATCTTTGCAACCAAAAACTTACATTTTGTTTGCCCGTGTTAGATACGTTTCTGTTACAGTCAAAGGTGTAGAAATAAGCATGCTTAATTTTCATGAAGTGAAAAATGGCATTCATTGTCTAGCCCGTTTTAGAAAATGCCAGCATCCCTTTTCGTAATCATTTTTCTTCTTCTTATCTCCTTGGACTTAGATTTGATCTAGGGCACTGAGGAGGAAAGATTCTGCTTTTTTAACATCTGTGAAACAGCAAATTATGCTGTGACATTTATGTTAGCCTTTAATATATCACAAAATTCTTCCCCCTTTTTTTGCTGTGACAAATTTACATGGCCATTCCTCTGGAACACATTACTTTTTCTGACCATTAATGAAACTTCAAGGTCAAAGAGTTTCCATGAACTCCTTTATGAATTATGTGACTTCCCACAGAGTGGCACTTTAAGCAGTGTTTTTTTGTTTTGTTTTGTTTTGTTCTTTGGTCTAGTATCTCCTCGCTTTACAACCACTGTAATCCCAAGTTTACTCTTGCCAATCTGCAGAGTGTACACAGAGTTAATATCATGGTTTGGGGTTGTAGTAGAGTCCGCAACAAGAAATATGCTGTGCAAAAACCTGGACAGTATATTGACTTCTGTGGGGAATATTACTTCCAATGGTTTGTATGTATTAGCTGAGAAGTGTTAGAACTACTTAAACTTACAGTAGCCTGGAAGTTGTTTTTGTCCCATTGTTTCTTGCTTATAAGTTAAACAAACAGTTTGCAGACAGCTATCACAGCACTTTACTCATCCCAAGTATGAATTAATCGCAAGACAGTCAGTGTTGTGTACTGGTTAGATGTTAAACTGGGACTTCGGGGATGAGGTTGAAGTCCCTACTGATCACAGGCCTGTCATTCTCTTTCATGGCTGTTCCTATCTCATAGGATTTTTGCAAGGAGAAAGGGAAGAAGACAGCCTTGTGTACTTCCTTTAGCTTGGGGGGAAGAAAGGTGGAATATAAGCATTAATGAATAACTGGTAAGTCTGAGGTCATAAGAGCGTTGTGGTGAAACCGGTGAGAAGGAGCAACCTTCTCATGCTGACAGTGGTGAGTAGAAAGTAGCTGTGAAGACATTAACATTTAACAATCACCAATATATATATTAGTGATGGTTAAGTGTTAATGACTTCACAGCTACTTTATATTTATACACACACAAACACACACACACACACATACACACACAATTTACAGCAATTTGTGGTGTATAGACCAGATTTTTGTAAGATATGCCACCTCTGACAATTGGCAAATACGCTAGTCATTTTTAGATAGCAACCTTCTGGCTTCTGAATCTTGACACATTTACCCTAACATGTAATTTCTTAGCAGAAATTTCTATTCCATAATGTTCCCTTGTTATGAAAATAATAGCCATAGTCCCCTCTGCCCCTTAGTGAATATACAGTTGAGTGCAATAACTACAGCTTTTAAAGTGCCCTTCACACACAACCTGTGTCATGGTAATTCACATATTTAAAAATTTCTAAGCAAAACAGCATAAAAAACACTAAGCAGCAAAACACACAGTGCAAACACGCTCACTCTGATTAGCCTAGTATAAAATCAGGAGAAGAAAAAGAAGTATTTTGAAACATAAGAATAAACTGAAGAAAACAAACTACAAATATTTCATTTGTAAAATAAAAAAGTCATGCTATTGAAAGTGCAATAACTATTGGATAATATTTTATAGAAGTTGGCAAAAGTGGTTGTCTCTGTCAAGTATTACTTCAATTAAATCTTAAAAGCCAGAAAACAAAGGGTGCCTTGAACATGACACTCTCATTAAACCTCATGTTTTGAAACCATGACAGGTTTCAACATTATGTACAGGTGGCATTTCCCACTGCTTTCAACACAAGCTGCATTGTCCTCTGGGACAAACATTCACGTAGTTACATCCAGCTGTGAGACCGACTGTGAAATACCTGCCAGTCTCCTCAATGGGTTGCTGGAAATGAACTGAACACTGTCAGGATTACTGCATGCTTCTGTGGGATTCTAAAAGGCAGCATCACCTGACATTTCCCTCTGTTTGCCCCCAGGGTATTTTAAAGGATTGGGGTTTTTTCCCCTCTGCTTTGGTATGTATAACAGTTGTGCTTAACTTGCAAAAACAAAACAAGACAGGTGTTTTGGGTTGGGCAGCTCTGTCATGCCTGTTTCCCCAAACGTCTTCCTCCTTTCACCTCCAAGTAAATTCCATGTCAATTCTGTACATATTCCCCCACTTTTGTTAATGTTCATTACAAACAAACGCAAGAAGTATATGAGAAATTTCACTTTGTTAGCTTTTTCTTTTTGAGAAACAGATCTAACAGGCCCGTGGAACGTCCTTATGGGTGCCGTGCCCAACCTCTGAAGTGCAGTTCATGCCCATCTTTAAGACTGACATTTGAAGACTAGAATCTATATCATTCCAATTTTTCAAAAATACCCAGTTCTTTTTTTTTAATGCCTGAGTCCAAGATACTGGTTAGAATACTACAGTTACACAGCTATGTGTATAGAACAACATGCAGTTTGAGCATATAAGGGAGGGAGGAAAATAATACTCTTATTACTGGCTCTAAAATTTATATTGGAACCTCATTCCCCATTCAACCTGAAGTTTCAGCTAGAAATTGAAAACTAAACATGAGAGAAGGTATTGCATTGTCACCATTGTCACCTGAATAGCAGCTTAACACATTGCTAACAAGTCTGGTAGTTCACATATTGACATGAAATTATTATGATGTTAGCAGCAACTGAGTTCTTATGTAGTATTTAAACTAAACTTTTCTTCTCTTAGAGCATGTAAAACAGGGGCAAACTATGTTTGGGTGGGTAGGTAAAGGTTAAGGTAAAGGTTCCCCTTGACAATTTTTGTCCAGTCGTGTTCGACTCTAGGGAGCGGTGCTCATCCCCGTTTCCAAGCCATAGAGCCAGCGTTTTTGTCCGAAGACAATCTTCTGTGGTCACATGGCCAGTGCGACTTAGACACGGAATGCTGTTACCTTCCCACTGAGGTGGTCCCTATTCATCTACTTGCATTTGCATGCTTTCGAACCGCTAGGTTGGCGGGAGCTGGGACAAGCAACGGGAGCTCACTCCGTCGCGTGGATTCGATCTTACGACTGCTTGGTCTTCTGACCCTTCAGCACAGGCTTCTGAGGTTTAGCCTGCAGCGCCACCACGTCCCTCTTGGGTGGGTAGACCCACTACAATTTAGCTCAAAAGACACATGGACACTGTGTGCCTTGTTTTAAAACTAAATCCTTCCTTCTTTCCTGCCAGTACTGCACAATTAAAATTCAGCCGCAGGGATAGTTAGGGGGAAAATTATGGGGATACAAAGAACGGGCAGGGGAGTCTGCCTAGGGACCAAGGTACACGTGTTGCCCTCTCTTAAAGTGAACCAATACTTTGCAGCCATACATGACTTTCTGAATATCCAAAGCATTTCACGTTATCAGCTCAGTAATCCTTACAACAATTCTGTAAGGCCAGGATTGTTTTCCCATGACTGAGACTAGGCATTGAGGCAGAGAGGCAGTCGCCTGCCTAAAGCCACCATCTACTTTCGTGTCTCCAATTTTAAAGAGGAATCTCATCACATTTATAGCTCTCACTTTTAAATGTTACACAGCACCAGCTCTCTAAAGCCAGCTATATATTACAATCCTCCGCTTATTAAAGATACAATATCCCTTTCATTTTTGCCTTCATTTTGTCTTTTTTGGTGTGTGTGTGTGTGTGTGTGTGTGTTGAAGCACCTCAACACAGACTTCAGATTGCCTTGACGAATCCAGCTGACTTTAAATGGCATCAAAGTGTTACATTACCAAAATGAAAAAAAGGCATTGCTGAGAAAAAGGTATTTTTAATTGTTTTTTTTAACTGCAACTTCCAAAATCCTCACTGAGCTGATCAAAAAGATATCCAAGCCATGCTGCCTGGCACATTTTGGAAACTGTAGTACAATGATTAACATCCTTTGATGCCATTTACACACTGCCCTACCAGACGGATTCTGTTTATTGTCGAATAAGATCAGATCATCATGACTTAAATATTTGAACCCTTGGTACCAGATTGTTTCGCAATGCACTGAGCTGGTCTAAACGAATCCCTTCCTCTTCTTTGGCAGCTGGGTTTGCAAAACTAAAGGAACTGTGCTGACGACAGGCAGGGCGAAGAAGGGCGCAGTTGAAGTGACGAAGCCTTGGAACGGTTAACGCCCTTTCCTGGAAACTCCAGACACCCACTGAAAATGATAGAAAGCAGGGGAGGAAAGCCACTCCGTACAGGTGGAACCCAAACCGGCAGCTCAAGTGGTATTGGTCCACTTTGTAAAAGCCTCAAAGTTTTCAAAGGGAATAAGGTGTGTGTGTTTGTGTGTGTGTATGTATGTGTGTGTGTGAAAGCACCAGAACTTTTGATTTGTATTTCCAGATGTTGTAGCAGCAGTGACCGCATAGCAACTTTCTCTGTAATAAAAAAGAGATCAGAAATTGATTAAATCCACAGTTCTATTTTGCAGCAGTCTCTTTTAGCCTGAACTTCTTGTAGAAACTGCAGCTGCTGCAGTTAAATGCTAAACTACCATTTATTTATTTATTTATTTATTTATTTATTTATTTATTTATTTATTTATTTATTTATTTATTTATTTATTTATTTATTTATTTATTTATACTTACTTACTTACTTACTTACTTACTTACTTACTTACTTACTTACTTACTTACTTACTTACTTACTTACTTACTTACTTACTTACTTATCTAATTGGATGCATGCAATCTCTGGCTATGCAGAATGCTTCACAAATTGCCATCTTGCCACAGATTTGAATCCACAGTGCTTTGTGACCCTTATCTCTTTTTCCCCTGAATCGTACCCCCATGGGTTTAGTGACTCCGTATGAAATGGGAACTGAGGCTTTCAAACACATACAACAATAGTCCCTCAGAGTCACACTAAAACCCCACAAGAGCTAAGAATATGCTGTTCAACATGCTTATTGTACGAGAATTGGGGGAGAACTATAGTAAACATGTGGATAAAGTGTCATGGCTGCATGAAACCCATTGTCCCATAAGATATGATGCTGAAAATCTGTTCACATGCATGCATGCACACACACACTCTCTCTCTCACATACAGAGAAAATATTAATTGGACCAGTGACTCAACTGAGTCCATATAACGAGTTTGGCCTGGATAATGATTTGTATCCAAATTCAAATCAGGTAGCATTAATAACACCAAGAGTGTGATCCACACAGGCATATAGCTCACATTTTGGACTGCTTGTGGTGCAATCTGGTGTGACCTAATTCCTGGCAATCACACAATGTACAGGGAAGACCACTCCAACCGTGACCTCAATCCACTTGCCCAAACTGGACCTTCTGAATTTAGCAGTAGGGTTACTGCTTTGAGGGGCCTGGCTGGAGCAATTTCCTGATGGTTGGAAGGGTCACTGTAAGAGAACTTGCTTTCATTAAACTGACAATTTCCAGTGTGATCAGACACCTACCTTTCCCATGCTCTGATTGCACCCTGA